GGACTACGAGCCCACTTCTTCGGATGCGTCCACGAAAGCTTATGCTCTAATAAATTTGTTAGTCTCTAAGGTGCCACAAGTACTCCTGTTCTTCTTTTTGCGGATACAGACTAACACGGCTGCTACTCTGAAACAAGTTGAGACAGCAGCAAGCTCCCTCCATCCTGAGCCCTGTCGTATTGTCGTTCCCTCCCCCCCCTCCGCTCTATGGAGATGGGGTAAGTGGGGGGCAGGAGCAGGGGGGACACCCTGACATTGCCCCTCCCCCCCGCACAGCAAGCAGGCGTCTCAGGGAGCAGCTCCAAGGCAGAGGACAGGAACAGCACATGGCAGTGGGGGGAGGGACAGCTGAACTGCCGGCAATTGCTAGCCTGCTGGGAGGCTGCCGCACAGGGAACTTAGGGGAGTGGGGAGCTGATGGGGGGAGCTGATGGGGGGCTGCCGGTCCACCCTGGTTCCAAGCCCCCACCAGCTAGCTGCAACGGGCTGCTCTTCCTGCAAGCAGTAGACAAAGCAGGCGGCTGCCAAATGACGTTAGAAGGGAGCATTGCACAACTTTAAACGAGCGTGTTCTCTAATTGCTCAGCAACGCAACAACGAAACGTTAACCAGGACGACTTTAAGTGATGAGATACTGCAATTGATTCCTTTAACCAATTTTAACTCTCACCTTTCTTTTTATGAATAAACCTTTAGATTTTAGATACCGAAGGATTGGCAACAGAGTGATTTCGGGATAAGATCTAAGTTATATATTGATCTGGGTGTGTGGCTGGTCCTTTGGGATCAGGAGAACCTATTATTTGATGAGACTGGTTGTAACGAACCACTCATCTCTGACTCCAGTTTTTTGGTGATGATATAAGAACTGGAATGACTGCGGAAACTGCCTTTACATTTTCTTGTTAGCCATTGTGGTGAAACAAGAGTTTACTTTTGTGGCTGCTTTGGTATATCTTATAAAAGAACCACCACCAGTTCTGGGTTGTGTTTGCCCTGTTTCTCAGCAGTGCGTCCTGAGTTTGGCATTCTCGGTTATGACCCACTAAGGCACGACACAGTGGCGTAGTCGGCAGGATCCACAGAACCAGGTCAATTAAGCTTTGGGTCAGAACCTCACACTACTAACATTTGATACGGAGAGTTTGAAAGGTTAAAGATCAGTGACCACGAGTCACATGGCATCAGCAGAAGCAATGAAACTGCAAGCCCTGAGAGAGAGCCGGTGTCTTGAACATGAACAGAAAATTGCTGAAATCAAGAAAAAAGCCGCTCCAAGAGAGAGAGAAGCTGCAGAGAGAGCGAAAGAAGCCCGTGCAAGGCACATGGAACGGCGGGCTGCTGAGGAGAGGGTTGCCAGACTTAGGCTCCAAGTCAAAAAGGCAATGGAAGAACAGCAGAAACTGTATCATCTTGAAAGTCCAGTTTTAACAATGTTGGTTTGTATGACTCTGAGCAGTTGTCTGTGTTTAACCCATCTTGCTATGACCAGGAAGAGGGTGTCTCTAACCTGGGGAAGGTGGAAAAGAGCGGTTTGTCTGTGAATGAAGTTCTAAATGTCTGTCTAGTATCTCAGCAGTGAATCTGGCATTAGATAAGGCTCAGGGAAATGTTTCTCTAGAGCAGATTAAAGTTGATGGTCAGGTTAATGCCCTAATTGAGGAAGAAAAGGGTAGATTTTTTGTGGGTGATGGATTGTTGGCTAATAAAGCTTGGGAAAGTAAGCCTGACACAGGTAAAAGTGATGTGCTTAAGTAGTTTAGTGTGATAAGCCACTGTTTGTGGAAAGCAACAGTTTATCTGTTGAAGGAAAAACTGTCTCGAATTGTTTGTCTGTTGCAAATAGTGTGCCTCAGGAAGGAGAGTGAACCTCCAGTCTTTTGTCTGTGGAGGAGACAGAAGAAGCCTGTCAGCCTATGATGGTTGAAAATGTATCAGCTGATCCAGAGTTGGATCTGTATTTAACTAAAGCCCTGGAAGGGAATGTTCTTACATTTATGTCTGATAGGGATCATCCAGTTAATGTCATGAATAGCTCCCAGAGACCAAGCGATTCTGGTGCTTCTATTTTGCCTATTGCTAGTGTGTTGCTGTGTAAAGATATGACAACCTTGTCCAATCGGGGTGATGATATAACCAGGGCATGAGGAAAGCATGAAGGTAATTTGACTGTGTTATCTACTGACAGTGTGGAAACTTGTAACAAGGAAGGAGAATGCTTCTAATCTTGTGACTATGAAGTCCAGCAGTTTACCTGAAAGGGGTTTTTGTAAAAATCCTCCTAATGGCCCAGTGGTGATTCTGGATGTAAGTGAAACCCAGAAAGAGTCTGTTGTGGCTCAGGGAAATGTTCCTTTACAGCAAGCCCTGGGTGAAAAGGGGAAGGGCAGAATTTCTGTGAAAAACGCGTTGTTGCTTAGAAAGAGTCCGGAAGAGAAAAATCTTCAGGGTAGTTTTTGCAAGCAGTTTGCTGCAACAGATGGGTGTGGAAGTGATTTGATTGAGTTAACTCAGGGTGAATCACTGTATAGAGAAAGCAACAGTTTGTTTTGGAGACTTGTTCCAGTTCCTAACTGCCAGAGTCTTTCTGAGATGTATAGATCCACTGATTTTGCTTTAGAAAGACCCAGTGTGTATAGCTTTGAGAAGGTTTCAGATGGAGTGAAAATGGCCGTGAAACTCTCATCTCTAGACACTTTGGATATGTCTTGTAGTCTCTTAGTGGACTTGACACCTGATGCCATGTGGAAGCAGAGGTTGGTTATGGAAGGACCAAAGAACCTTGAGTCTAACATGTTAGTGAAAATGGACGGTATCTCTTTAAGACAGAGTCCAGCCTCGGAATTGGTAACAGTTAAGGATCTGAAAACTAGTAAACAAGCTAGTTTCTGTGTTGATGCAAATTACCTGACTGGGGGGAGGGGGGGAGAGTGAAAGACTTGTCCATAGTTGGTAGCAAAGAGGACACACGGAGCCAACCAATGGATTCTGTTAAGCAAAAGAGCTCCCTTTTGACCCTCTGGAAAAGGAAGAAAGGGGAAACGTTTCTCATGCTAATGAAAGGCGCAGGTTAACCCTAAAATACCCAAACCCCAGTGGTAGTGAGCCAAAGGCATGGCATGACACACACGATTGTAATGGACACCCACAATGAATCTTAATGCTAATGTTAACTCTGGTCACTCGTGTGTTGCTAATACCGAGAACTGTACAAATGTACAATGCGCCTAATCTTTGGGAAAACCCCTTAAACATGTTAAGAGTGATACATAGAAGCCCACTTTATGTTAAAAGACCTTGGGATACTGATATTTCACAGTTAGTGCCTAGAACTAATCTTGAAACGGTACACAGAAGAAAAGACATTGCAGACCTAATGTGCTGTATAAGAAGGGAAACTGAGGCACACTACCATATTGCTTTCATGTCTAAATGCCAAGATTCCTACACTATAAAGAACATTAATATCTACATTGACCTGTTGTTAATTGGTTTCCAAACATTTGCCAGAGCTTGTATAAATAAATTAGCTATTTTCTTTAGCTCTTGGCAAGATCACATGAAACATACAGGAATTATGTTGCAAGAGCAGATCCAATCCACTATTGTTCTAACCAAGTTTTACCTTGGGTTTGTAAAGGGATTCAACAATATTGTTAAACATGATTTTAATAAACCATTTTGGTTATACACTGCTACTTCTAATACTGGGTTAGAAGCTATAATAATACAGAACCAAGAATGGGAAATTCCTATGATGCATTCAGTAATGCACCACTTCCTGCAACAATTTTGTGTCAGGGAGTTACTTTTGTGGCTGCTTTGGTATATCTTATAAAAGAACCACGACCAGTTTTGGGTTGTGTTTGCCCTATTTCTCATCAGGGCGTCCTGACATTGACATTCTCAGTCATGACCCACCGAGGCACGTTTACACCGGGTTCCTCCACTCCGGGTAATGGGGGTAGGGACAGAGGCAAAGGGGAAAGATAAAGGCGATAGGGTTGAAAATCTGTTACTAAAAGTTACCAATCCTGGCTTTTCTCTAGTACTCTGTAATCTAAAACGGTCAGGCCGCCTGCGTGTCTGGCGTCACCTGCCCCCAGCCTCTGCATCTCAGCACTAGCAACTCTCTGCAATGCAGACTGAGCCTTAACCTAGCAGAGCTTGGGAGAGGGGCAGTCTGACCGCTGCTGCCTAAGAAAGCCCTACCGAGGCGGCCTCCCACGGAGGTTCCTGAACCTTTAAGAAAAGGACAGACCCTGCTTTCCACAGCCAGGGCCGCTCTGTGTCATTGTTAACTAGCTAGAAGGAACTTGCAGGAGCCGAATGCAGAGATGGCTGTAGCAGGGCTACAGTCAGCTGCGGAACTGATGTTACTTCCTTCTAATGGTGCAATTCCAGGAAAACCATAATTAGGGTCAGGCTGGCCGCTCAACCCCCGCTGCACGTTCTGTCGATGAGTAAGAATCTGCACTGCCAGGAGTGAGCCCACTCCTGCGCTTGCGTCACGAGCCCCACCCACATCAGCGTGCGTGTGCGGGAGAGTCTGCAGGCCTGGGCTGTATCTCACAAGGCACCTCAGGAACTGCCCTGGGATTGCTGGCCGACAGGCTCTCAGCACACAACGCCTCGCAGGCAAACCCCACACAAAGCGCCTTTCCAAGCGAACGTTTCTCAGTTCGACGACTTCCCAGTTACTGCACCGGCACTTCCACGCCGTTTTCCCTCTCCGGCTCCCCGCCTCGTTAGACTTTAGCGAGTCATGAGGACATGCCAATACAAAATCAGACATGCTGAATATGAAAGCTCAGATCAGATCGGTGTTACCCTAATCAGACGACACATGCAGATGTGAGGAGACAACAGCAGGCGCTGCTCCTTCTCATTTCCACTTGAAAAGCAATCGTAAAGATCACGTCTTTTGCAAATACCAGGTGTCCAAACACACCACTTACACTCTCGCTGTAAATAACTCATTTTAAATGTAAATACAACAGCGTATAACAAAAACTGTCAGCCGGCTCCCGAAACGGCTTGTGCAGCGCCTTACGAGAATGGCTTTTGGAACCGGTAACTGCACGCGGCCGAGCCAGGCCTGGTCTGCTCTCGGGTAGGAGAGTGCAGCCTGCAAGCGGCAGTGCCTGAGCACCCACCCGGAAGTCTCAAGTTCCAGGGCAGGCTCAGGCCTGGGAGAAGGCTCTGGCTGTTGCTAACCCCCGAGCCAAGCAACAGGCATTTCTGCCTCTGGCCTAGAAGCTGGAAGCTCAAAGCCGACCCTGGCCTTGGGCCTACTGCCAGTGTTAGCGCTGCAGCGCAATGCCCATGCCCAGGAAGGTAAGTGCTCTAGTGCGAGGTGCTCTGTCACTGACGTCGGAGCCACTAGCTGTCGACACGGAAGCAGGAGACTCCACGGGCACTATCTAAACGTTGTAAGGGACGAGCCCAGTGTCCTGGCCATGATCCCGACTCTGCCAAAGGCTGCATGAGCACTGGCGTCCCGTGCACAGCGGTGGCTGCGCTATCTCACAGATGTGCCATGCTCTGAGGTGCGGCCGGACGAGAGGCCCAAGAGAACAGATTCTGGGCTGCTAAGAGCCCATGACAAAGACACGCTGTAGACTCCCTGAACTTGTTTCTCACTCATGTCCCCTGCCGGAGCACCACTTGGGACCCCTTTGGTTTTCCTCTGTAAATTAATACCCAAAGGAGCATTTCCAGAAGCAGGTCCAGAAGCCAGCTGTCACTGCTGAGATACCTGCCCAGGTGTGGCATCACAGGCAGGGGGAGACAGCACTTAGTTCCAGGGCTTTGGAGCGGAGCCCAGAGCAGCGGAGCTGCAAGTTTTTGCCTGGACCTGGAGCGGAGCCGGAGCGCAGCTCCAAAGCCCTGCTTAGTTCCACGATGAGGCCTCGAGAATGGCCTGGCCCTGGATTAATGTATTTCATTTTATAAAAGCCAAGGCTCTGTGCTGTCCCCAGGCGCTCTGCTCCGCTCCTCTCTGGGCTCCACACGGGACCCAGGCTCTCTGGCTCAATCCAACCCAGCAAAATCAAACCTCCCCACTCAATCCCCTCCGAGAACACCAGGGGACAAGGTTCAATAGATTCTTCAGAGACCCAGCCTCACCCCTGAGATTACCAAAGTGAAGTTCAGTCATAGCAGGGAGTCACAGATACCCCTTGGCCCTGTCCCTCTCGCCTCAGGGCAAGCAACTGGCTCCCCTCCTGCAGCCCAACCATGGGGATTAGCAGCAACCACTTCAGCTGATCCAGGTGCTGCGAAGGGAGCTCCCGGCAGGCATGGGGCCAGTGGCTGGGATTGGGGAATCAGGAAGGGGTGTTAGGGCCCTAATGTCAGAGGTATACACCCTCCTCTGATCTTGGGGAACCCACTAGAGTTTGCTGGTGGAGCATGAGGATTTCCAGTTTGATAGAGGCCTGGAGCCTGGTCTATACTTAAACTAAAGTCAACATAGGCCGGCGCTCAAGGGGGTGAAAAGTGCCCCCCACCCCCCGAGTGCTGTAGCTATGCCGGTCTAAGCTCCCGTCTAGACGCAGCTAGGCGGATGGAAGGAAGCTCCATGGACTTAGCTAGTGTTGCTCCTGGAGGTGGAGTTCCTACCGCAACAGAACACCCTCTGTCACTGCAGTCTGGCCACAGACCCGGAGCTGCACTGCTGGAACGCCCGTTAGCGTAAACATGGTCTGGAGCTGGGACGCTTCTCTGGCTTTTCCCCTTCAGGGACTCACTTACCTGCAGAGGTGCATCTTTGCTGGCTGAACGGAGCTCTTCTCTCTCTGGCTCAATAGCTTCCGATGGATTTGGCTGAGTCTCTGAAACAGAAGTCTGCCATGTCAGCGTGGGCTGCAGCTCCTAGAGCCTTCGCGATGGCCGGGAGCTTAGCCCGTCGCTTGACAGGGTTTTCACAGATGTGTAACCCCACAGCTGGATGACAGGTTACAAGTCACAGCACAGAGTGCAAGGACAAAGCTGCTGCAGCTTCACAGGAGTGAGACTAAAGGGGACCCACAGAGCACGTGCAGTGCGAGAATGGAGCTCTCCAACCCAGCAGAGAGAGTCCCAGAATTCCCTTTGTCACATGGGCACCCTCCTCTCCTGAGCCTCATCCGCCATCCCATGTTTTCAATATCAACAAAAGCCACATCCAGCCAGCTGCAAGGAACCTCTCGGCCTCCCTGTTCCTCCTACAGATTTCAGAGTGAAAAGCCAGAATCAGGACATCAGTGCAGGACCAACGAGGAGAGGCGGGCCTGGAGAAAGCAAACGATTCAGTTCCAATCAAGTTTGCTAATGAAATGTGAGATGAAAATTCCTTTTACCTCGATCCAGCAGCGGTCAGTTTAGCGGGTCTAGTGAAGACCCGCCAAATCAACAGCAAATCACTCTCCAGTCGACCTCTGTACTCTAGGTAAGGCGACAGGAGAGTTTCTCCCGTCGACCCCCCGCGGTGAAGACCCCGCGGTAACTCGACCTAAGGTACATCGACTCCAGCTACGTTATTCACATAGCTGGAGTTGCATAGTATAGGTCGACTGACCGCAGTAGTGTAGACATAGCCTTAGAGAGGCAGGGCTGGGAGGGACCTCCAGAGGTCACCTAACCTGCCCTCTGCACTGAGGCAGGACCAAGTAACCCTAGACCAGCCCTGACAGAGGTTTGCCCAACTGGTTCTTAAAAACCCCCAAGAACGGAGATTCCACAACCTCCCTTGGGAGCCTGTTCCAGAGTTTAACTACCCTGAGAGTTAGACAGATTTTCCTAATATCCAACCTCAATTTCCCGGGCTGCAGATGAAGCCCATTGCTTCTTGTCCTGCCTTCAGTGACGTGGAGGACAACTCACCAGTGCCCTTTATAACAGCCCTTAATCGATTTGAAGACTTATCAGGTCCCCTCTTCTTCTCCAGGACTAAACTTGCCCAGTTTTTTTAACCTTTCTTCATAGGCCAGGGTTTTAAAACTTATCACTTTTGATGCTCTCCACTGGACTCTCTCCAGCTGATCCACCCAGCACCCCAGCTGGGGCCTCCCCAGTGCTGAGCAGAGCGGGCCTCCCGTGTCTGACATGGGACACCCCAGAATGATATTAGTATTTTTCACAACTGCGTCACTGTCACGGAGTCACAGGCTAGGTGCTCTGGCACCGCTCTGAGGGACGTCAGGCAAGACTCTAGCATAGGGTTGCCAGGTGTCCTGTTTTCTACCGGAATGCCCAGTCAAAAAGGGACCCCGGCGGCTCTGGTTAGCACCACTGACTGGGCTGTTAAAAGTCTGGCAGGCTCCCAACATGGCTCTGTGCGGCTCCCCGGAAGCGGCAACATGTCCCTCGGCTCCTACGTGGAGGGACAGCCAGGGAGGCTCCATGTGCCATCCCCGCCCCAAGTGCCGGCTCCGCAGCTCCCATTGGCTGGGAACTGCAGCCAATGGGAGCTGCGGGGTTGGCGCCTGCAGGTGGAGGCAGTGAGCACGCACTACGCAAAGCCGCCTGGCCATGCCTCTGCCTAGGAGCCGGAGAGATACGTCACCGCTTCCAAGGAGCCTGCTGAGGTAAGCACCGCCTGAAGCCCACACCCCCTCCCGCATGCCAACCCCCTGCCCGAGCCCCCTCCCCAAATCCCTCATCCCCAGTCCCACCCCAGAGCCTGCATCCCCAGCCAGAGCCCTCACCCCCTCCCGCACCCCAATCCTTGCCCCAGGCCTGAGCCCCCTCTTGAACCCCAAACCCCTCATCCCCGGTCCCACTCTAGAGCCTGCATCCTCTCCCGCACCGCTGCCCCAGCCCTGAGCTCCCTCCCGCACCCAAACTCCCTCTCGGAGCCTGCACCCAAACTCCCTCCTGGACCCCACACCCCGCACCCCTCCTGCACCCCAACCCCCTGCCTCAGCCTGGAGCCACCTCCCACACTCTGTACCCCTTGGCTCCACCCCCCAGCCTGTAGCCCTCTTCTGCATCCCAAACCCTTCATCCCCAGCCCCACCCAAATCCCCTGCATCCTATCCCCCATCCCAGCCCGGAGCCCCCTCCCCCACCCTG